AAGATCATCAGGGGGTCTTTTGTTCCCTCTTCGGGGGGAAACTCCCACTGGGTTTGAATCTGGGACTCTCCACCTTTTCACCTGAGAACTGAAGAAGCCTCTCGGATGAGAGGTGAAACGTCTTCAAGCAACTCAAAGAAGTCCAGACGCTTTTCTTTCAAAGCTCCTTAGACTACAATGACCTGGATGACTGAGAACCTTCACAGACTCTACACTGCAGGGTTTCCCCCAGCGCTTTATAAGCCTGGCTGCCCACCAGGCTTTGCTTGCCCGCCCGCCAGGCCAAGCGTCATGCCCCGCCCCCCGACCCGACCCTACCGTGTCCGCTGACACGAACGGAGCAGCAAAACTAGAAACCCTCCATCAGCTGATACTGGTGAGAAACAGCAGCGGAACGTGTGCAACCACCCCACCCCCGCTCTCACAGAGGAGCGTTGTGGGACGGTTTCCGTATGGATCACGGATCAATGATGATCCGTTGCACCCCTAAACAACATAGTTGGCTGCACAAAGTACAAGAAATTCAGCTTCAACCTCAATCATCTGGGCAACGATGGAGCATGGGGTTAGGAGTTCACCCTACAATAGACAATAGCCTGTTTGAACCCAGGCTCCATTCAGGTCAGTCCTTGGACAAGACACTGACTCTCCTTGGTCGTCGAAGGGACCGGTAGCTTCTGTCAGTGTGCCCCAGGACAGCCGTGGCTACAGTTGGGCTGGGACAATAATCAAAAACTCAAGAGAACAATATGCAACATAGGCCAAGCAGTCCCCCTTCATATTTACTGTCAAGGGTACATGTTTGAAGAAGAAGAAGAAAATATCATTTCTATAGCGCCTCTCAAGATAAAAATCACGAGGCGCTTCACAAAAACAAATAAAATGTAAAAATATAAAAAAGCATTTAGAAAATGTTTAAAAATATATTTAAAACGAGCAAAGATAGACAATTGTGATTTAAAAAAATGTTAAGAAAGAGAGAGAGTGAACAGGAAAGAGGGAGATCAGTGGATCCTGAGGAAGGTGGAATAGGTGGGGAGAGCAGAATAAAGAGAGAGAGGTGAAGAAGGTCATACAAAAGCCAGCTTGAACAAGTGAGTCTTCAGCTGCTTTTTAAAGGAGACCACTGAGTCCACTGATCTCAGGCTCAGGGGGAGAGAGGTCCAGAGTCTGGGGGCCACAGCAGCAGATGATCTGTCACCTTTGACCTTTAGCCTGGTGCTGCACAACCAGTAGGCTTTGATCACTGGACCTCAGGGACCTGCTGGGGTGTAGGGACTAAGAAGATCACCAATGTATGATGGTGCTTGTCCATGTAAGGCCCTATAGACCAGAACCAGGATCTTGAAATGAACCCTGAAGTTGACTGGCAGCCAGTGAAGCTGGAGGAGAAGCGGGGTGATGTGGGTGTGTTTGGAGGACTTGGTCAGAAGCCGAGCACAGGCGTTCTGAACCACCTGTAGACGGTTCAGGGAGGTTCAGCTCAGACACGTTTGTATTATTTCACCACCTTTTCTAGAAGCTGCTAGTAAACCTTTGTTACACAGCTGAGAGGCTAACAGTCACAGTCCAAGGTCTGCATAAAGGACAATTCACGTTTATTTGTTGTTACGGCCACCAGCCCGGCCTCTTCAGGTGCAGGAGCTAGGATCACCCAGCCCCTGGTGATCAGCCCGACACCGCCCCTCCTCCTCCTCCTTTCCAGGCTGCTGAGCAGCACAGCTGACCTGAATCCCTCTGATGACCCACACCTGGGATAAAAAGGCAGCAGTGCAGGGGTTCTGCTGTCCTCCAGGCCTCAGATTGGTTTCAACCCCTTCGTTTTGATGAGTTTTAACTTTAATAGTCTTAACTCTGAGTTGAAGAGTTTTAAAAAGTTAAAGCTCTGAGTGATCCAGAGGGATCGTTTTAAAGGTTAACTTGGTGATGCAACTTTGACTTTTATTAACCAGGTGTTTTAATGCTGGTAATTGGTCTTTTAATGTTAACCTTTGAGAGTTTACTTTTTGTTTGGCATTATCTTAATAATGCTTTCCATCTGTTTGCACTTGTTTTCAGAAGCTTTTATAACAATTAAACCCATTTTAAACCCACTATCATGTTTCTTATGTTACCCCCTCCATCACATTTAACACATCCTGTCGGGGACGTAACGTTTGTATAGCACATTTAAATGCAACAACGTTGCCCGAAGTGCTCAACATGACATATAAAGATAAAAGCAGTCAAGCAAAAGCACACTAAAACATTACATTAAAAAAATCTGGCATAAGAAATTATAAAAAAACAGGACTACCAAGTCATCAAGGAATAGTGAAAGCTGTCGAGTAAAAATCAGTTTTCAGTAGCTTTCTAAAAATGGCAACAGATGACGCCTGCCTAATGGAGACAGGTCGCACACGTGATGTCAGCACAGAGTCGGTGCTGCCACAGAGAAAAACGTAAAATGTTTTTTCTGTAGCCTTGCCCTAGGTACACTCAACCTATGCTGGTCAGCTGACCACAACCCACGAGATGGAACATACGGCACAAGGAGTTCAGGGTTTCCCCCAGCGCTTTATAAGCCTGGCGGGCCACCAGGCTTTGCATGCCCACCCGCCAGGCTAAGCATCATGCCCCGCCACCTCCCCAACCCTACCGTGTTCGCTGACACGAACGGCACAGCGAAACTAGAGCCCCCATCAGCTGATTCTGATAAAAAAAACAGCAGCGGAACGTGTGCAACCACCCCACCCCCGCTCTCACGGAGGAGTGCTGCGGGATGGAGCATGCCCCCCCCCCCCCCCCCCCCCCCAAGGCCGAAGCTGCCTGGCTTAACTCATTTTCTGGGGGAAACCCTGGGAGTTCACATCAATGAGTCCATTCAAACATTTGTACGCCAAAACCAAAATCTTAAACTGCACGAGGGACTTAAGTGGGATCCAATGCAGAGATGCAAGAACAGGAGTGATATGATCAAACCTATGTGTGCCAGTCAGGAGTCGAGCTGCAGCCTAGCAATACATCCATGTTTAATACCCAAGAAAAGGCTATTGCAGTAGTCTAAACAAGATGTTAGAGGTGCATGGATAAGCTTCGCCAAGTCATTCCTAGTCAAAAAGGATTGAACCGTAAAAAGCTTCCTTAGGTGAAAAAAATTAACTCGAACCAAATTATTGACTTGCACATCAAAATTAAGCTGAGAATCAATCTTAACACCCAAATTAGAAACAACATCCTTTGCCTCATATGAAAAGCTACGCATCAACGACTGAGTAACTACAGGGGCACCACTCGGTGCAAACATGATCAACTCAGTCTGAGGCCTAGTCCACACGTAGCCGGGTTTTTTAAAGACGGATATCCGCCCCTCCAAAAACTTGCATCCACACCACCTCGTTTAAAAAAAAACTGTCCACACGTACCCGGATAGATACGTTGTTAAGGACATGCCAGACCTGTAGGCGGCAGTACTTCCCCCGTTCTTAACCTCGTCCTTCGTCTGTGGTCTTCCGCAAGGAGCAGTAATTCCGCTTGCAAAAACAAACAAGCAAAGAGCGCTTGGACAATTGATAAAGCGAGCGCAGCTCTGAGGGCATCCATGCTGTCGGCTAGTGTAAACACAGGTCGCACACGTGATGTCAGCATTTTTGTGTCGCGGAAAGTGACGTTGCGGACCTTAAAACTCCGGTTTTGTCTGTCCACACGCAGACACCCAAAACGGAGAAAACGTAGATCTTCACTTTGGCCGGAGTTTTTAAAAAGATCCGTTTTCGTGTGGATGACAGGCCAAAACGTAGAAAAATATCTACGTTTTGGCAGATCCCCGGCTACGTGTGGACAGGGCCTTAAGCTGCACTGTGGAGAACATTACAACCCATCCAATCGTTAACCTCGCGAAGACAACTCAGAGTTAATTCCTTAGCTTTAAATTTAATTAACTCAACAATTCTTCCAGCCTCGATATTGACCTGTATGTCAACCCCCCCCAGCTCCATTTTAGGTGTATGACTCACGTTGCAAGGGGAAGACCCAGCTGAAGCTGAACAAGAGTCAAAAGGATGGGTAAAAAGAACAAGGATGAACACATCCCTTACAGGAATAAAACTGAAGGAGGACTAGAGATTGGTATTTACACAAATTGTCTACAATCAATAACGTAGATCTCTACGACCTGAAAGGAAACACAGCTCAGATGTTTCATTACTGCAGAAAATACATCACTTAAGTTAAATAAATGTTTTATTGTTGCATCTTAAAGGGCGTATGTGCATTATTATGACATATTACCATTAAATAAGTGGTTATTTTGGTCTTGATGGTATCGACAATAATATTGTTTACAGTCAATTTGTTGGACAATATATCGTCCAGCAAAGTTTATCGTCCCAGGCCTCGGTTAGTGTAGCTGACCACCACCTGTGTGAGCGACTGGGTGCAGTGTCAGGAGTCCTCTGACTCTGAAAGGTGCTACACAAGTGCAGGTCAGGTCATGTCACTTCACTTGATAAGCTCCAGTTAAAGTAACCGTCTGAACGGTGTGTGGTGTTTGTCAGCCATGTTGTTAAGGGACCAACCAGAGACATTCCTGCCAGTGTTTCAGGATCAAGGACAGCCAGGTGAGAGGCTCGATGAGTCTGCTGGACTGTTTCCATCCAGGGCGACCTGAGCTAAATGGAAAAGGGCTCTGGCTAGCGGGGGCTAGCATGCTCCTGTAGCGCAGGGCAGCGGTAATAAAGCTGCTGCTGCTGCGTCGGTGTGTCACTCGGAAAAACACGCAGAGAGCGAGTGAACCAACTCTTCTGAGACTTTCTACGTTTACGTGTTCACTCGGTAAACTCTCGGTCTGAACCACCGGCTGGAGACGAAACCTTTTCCTCCTCTGAAAACTTTTCTCTCCTCCGAATGAGTCTGACTACAAAGCACCTCCACAGGAAGAGCCAAACGCTTTTCCAGGCATGCTTCTAAAATATTCAGACTGCTGCTAAAATAATCAGACTTGATCATTAAACGGGACTCACCATCCGGTCCCTACTGCCGCTCTCCGGGGCGCCTTCAACAACCGAGACTGCCGTTGGGAGCTCCGAAGGGCCGCGGAGCTTGGAACAAGAAGCCGAACGGGTCCAGTTACTGGCAGGGAGAAGAAAAGCCAAAAACTGCAAGGCCCCGGGCCCGTGTCTTCAGTTAGGCCGGCGAGGGACGAGCCTCGGTCCTCTTCTGTTTGACAGAGACGTGGGGATAAATGTCTGACAGCTGCTCGTCTTCGGTCCCCTCTGTTCACTAACCCCTCACTTTTCTCTAATTCTTCACTTCAGAAGACACGAATCAAAATACTCACGCAGAATATGGCGGCTGCTCGAAGGCGCTGTTATCGCGAGACGACACCAGCTTACTTTCGACTAGTGGTGGGAACTCCGGCTCTTTTAAGAGAACGGGTTCATACGGTTCGGCTCACTAAAATGAACCGGCTCTTTCGGCTGTCAAACGGATCCTCACAATTTTTATTTTTTAAAATTAACGCATCACCAGAACATTATGTAAAATGTATGTGAAATATGACCAATCTATAAACTTACATTAAAACAACTTTTTATTATTTCAAAATAGACTTGGCAGTGGGAACTGTCTCCCCAGCCGTCACTGCCATCTACAGAAGGAATTCATCACTAAATAAAACACATCAGATGTAATCATGATCTAAAACATGCAAGAAACATGATGGAAGCAGACTGCATGTCAGCTAAACAGCAGCCTGCCACGCTGAAGTTGTAAGTGTGTGATAGTCTGGCTGTAGAAAAGCAAAGATAATCACACAGTAAAATTTGTAGAGCCTGCTTGAAAAGATATTTTTGCTTTGCAAATTCCACACTCTTATTTTGAATTGTCAATATTGATAAAATGTGTCAACCTTGCTGCATTTCATGCTTTAAAGTCTTTTTCCGGAGTATTTATTTTATTCGATGGCACCATCTACTGGCTGACAAGCATATCACACAAATCATCTCTAGAATCATATTTTTTAATATGGCGATTTCACGTTTCTAGTGATAAATGTGCTTCTGTAGGCGACAGACAGCTAAAACACGTTGTTTTACGAGTATTATTCTCATGTCATGTTGTGTTCTCATACATTTACATTTTAGAGACTTACTCGTCCGTGAACAGTTCATCAACTCTGTAATGTTTCTTGAATTAAGCACGACGTTTCATGTTCTTTGCAAAAGATGTTTATTTCTCCTCTTCGCCAGCTGTCAGTCATTCACCTCATCACCACTCTCCTCTGTCCTTAAATAGATAATCTAATACCGCCCCCTTGTGGGCAGAGCCATAACAGTTGTCACCACATCCCTCTTTGTCCCACAAAAAAAAAAAAAAAAAAACATTTTCATGCACTATTAAAGATTCAATCTTTGCACCAAAATGCTAAAATAATGAATACACACATTTAAAACACTATTAGACACTCATTTATACAGTTCATCAGCAAAAAAAAGTTAATTTAGACGTTACTTGCTCTTTAAGTGCAGCATCCTATGATACATGAATATGACGTGTCACATGACACGTTACTTAACTCAAGAACACCACAGTGTTTACCTAATCAGTGTCGCTTATGACTTTGTTGGCCAATACAGTTGAAGAATATTCTTGTATGTGAATTTAAATAAAATCATATATTTTTAGCTGGCCAATGGGGGCCCCAGAACACTCGCGGGCCCCTAGGTTTAAGCCTTATCAAGCCTGTGGATTAATCCGAGTCTGCTTGCAACACTATAGATGGTTTTCTGTGTGGCTGTATGTGTTTATGATTTCATGGAAAAGTCAGTGATTGTTCACATGTTTATGATGTATATTAGTGATTGTTTCAGGTGTTGTTGAGGTTTTGTGCACGCATGTGTATCTGCTAGTGTTGAAGGTGTTTTAGAGAACAATAGGTACGCATGACCACTTCCTTCATAGCACCCTCAATAAAGACTAGCTCCTTCGTAGCACCTGCAGAAAAAAATTTCTGGAGCCGCCACTGTTATCTCTGAATTATATGGACACTGTATGTACATGTATGACACTTCTGTTGCTATCTACAAGAATTATATTGTCTATATTAAAATGGCTGAGTACTGTTTTCTGCTTCTCTCTCATATATTAAGTGTGTTTTTTATAAATACCTGCCATAGATCTCACACACCTGCTGTATGAACGTTTCAAAATAATTTAGATTCTTATTGTTTCACTGATTTTTATTGATTGATCCTTTTTCTATAAGTTTTGACTCTAAGCTCTGGACAATAGGAACATGTGTCCCCGCAGCAAACCCACTGTTATTAAAACACTGAAACACATGTCCTGTGTCAGAGCTACATGTGTGATGTTTGCAGGGAAAAAACACATTAACATCAGTTCAGAAATCAAGGAGTTATGGTTGATTTACATGCTGACACTGCAGTGCCTCTGCTCGACCGTCATTGGTCATTCAACGCGATGAGAACGGAGGAGGGGGCTCCCACTTGCCCGCAAGGGACACACGCAGCGGGATATGCGCTTGATTCCTGGAAGGTGTGGAGGATCGTATGTCTCTCTCAGTTGTCCATTGAGGACGTCGAAGATGTGTGGATATTTGGCCTGATGATTACTGGATTTCTTCTGATTGGAGAGGGAGGATATCTGGTTTTCTGGAAATTTGGGAAGACGGGAGCAATTGGAGGGTGACCCACACCCACGGAAAGCACCGCCCGGGCGGAGACCTCACAGACTGGGACGTTACTCGTGGTGAGTCGCAAGCTGGACAATGTCCTAGCTGCTTTACCGGTGTTAGTGCGCAAAATGGATGTCATCTCAGAGAGGGTCACCGGACGGTATGGAGATGTTTAAAACCTAATTGGCTTCACTGAAGGACTGGAAGGACCAGTTAAAGACTGAAGGCAGAGAGGAAAATTATCTCTGCCTGACCCAAACAAAGTCTTGTTATCCAAATCTGACGCCATGGCAGCCTTGAGATGCCAACAACAACAACACCCACGAAGGAAGGAATGCAGACAGATGCTGTGAAAACCCGACCTCCCCCCCCGCCTTCAGATTGTGGACTTCTGCCTAGCGAGGTCATCAACCTGCAGGGTCAATGTGCTCTGCGTTCCTCCCAAGATCTCCCTCCCACCTGCGATCTACAGTGGTTGAGTGCCGTACATGGCTGCTCTCGCTGGGGGAAACAGGATCCCAGCCCCCCCGCCTTCCTATTGTGATGTTGTGTTGTGTTATCTGTTGCTTATCTGTTGAGGTGTTTTTTTGCAGAGCAAAGCTGCCCTCCTGGGGGGAGAGTAGCTGTGAAGTGCCTCCCCCCCCCCCCCCTCCCGAATCCATTCCTCATGTTATCCTTTTTCTCTCTCTATTAAGGTAGAGCGACTCGGTTGCGAATGACCACAGTCACCAATTCTTGTCATGTGTCTTGCCCATGTGTGTCTGATCTCTGAATTGTGTGTACTGAAACTCTAATTTCTCTTCCCTGGGACAAATAAAGCTTTTCATTTTCATTTCATTTCATATTTAAAGCTCAGTTTGCTCCACTGGTTTACTGTGATGCTCACCTGTTCCAGCCAGATACCTGCATCATGGGGTTGATCTGAGCTGAGGAAGAGACTCCTGTTGTTTTGTTCATCTTCATCATAATAATGACAACATTAGATGACAACAGGTGCTCACATAGGTTTGTGCTGATGAACATGTCTGAGCAGCTTGACCACTTTGTTGTGTGTCGGGGAGGAAACATAAAATCTACAGCAGCCACAGAGCCATGCTGATTTGAGCGTGTCGCTGCTCGCTGGAGTTATATCAGCTCTGTCTGGACGTTAGTTGGAAAACTTTCTCTTTCAGTCGTGAACACGTTACTGAGCGGTTAAAATCTTCGCTTCTGGGCTTCAACGTCGGCGCTGAGTGAGAGGAGTGTAGTTTGTCCGAGACAGCGGAGCTTCAGACACCGGCAGCAGACGCTGGAAAAAACACTAAGAAGGGGGCGCTTCGGCTCCGCGCTGATGCCGCAAAGCATCATGGGAGTTGTAGTCTTTGCAGTAAAATAGGCCAGCGGGTCAGTTTTAATATATTTTTGATATTTATCTCGGGAGCCACAAACAAATGTTCCGCGGGAACTTCTGTCTGGCACATGTACTGTAGAGGATTCTGAAGACGTCTGGATATTCGTGGTGTTGGTGTCAGGTTTACTGCTGTTTGGCCTGAGCGGTTACCTGGCTTACTGGAAAATTAATGAGCTGTAGAGGAATATTGGCTCAATCCTGGAGCTCAGGGATGGATTTCACCATGCTGTTAATGCACAGACTCATATAATTGTCGAGATGAGTCGTAAGCTGGAACTTTGGCTGACATTCAGACTCTGGCACAGAAGGTTGATGCCATCAAGGATAGAGTTGACGGATCAGCACGGATTGGGATGGATTAATTTACGCCATTATTGGATTCAGAGGGGTTGGAGACCAACAGAACTTTAAGACAGAGAGGAAATTATCTCTGTCTGGCCCCAAAACAAGTTCTTATTTGAATCTGGTGCCCTTGAGCCTGTGAGGCTGAAGTGAATAGTCCCCTCAGAAGAAATGTGGAATGCTGCCGTCGCCATGGTAACTGTGTTTTCCCATCCCAGCCTGGGCGGTGAAGGCCGTTGAATCGTTTCCAGGAGTCACTGTGCTCTCTAACTCAAATACCTCCTTCCCCTGTCCAAACAGAGGTGACGAGCGCTGCTTATCGTGGCTGCATTCACTGATGTGTGGAGAGTCGCAAACCCTACCTCCCCACCTAGTGGACACTTATGTTGTGTAATGTCTGAAGTCTGTTGCATTTCTGTCTGAGGTGTTTTTTGCAGAGCAAAGTTGCCCTCCCTGTGGAGGGTAACTCTGAAGTGCCTTTTTTTCCCTCCACCTGAACCAATCCTCATGTAAACCCTCTGATCTCTATTAAGGTAGCGCGACTCGGGTTGCGAAAGACCACAGTCACCATTTCGTGTCATGTGTCTATGTATGTATGTCTGATCTCAGAATTGTGTGTACTGAAACTCTAATTTCCCTCTGGGATGAATAAAGTATCTTAGAATTGAACCTTGCCTGATAAATAGCTCACCTGACTGGATTGTGAAAACCAATCCTTGTGCCGCTAGAAGTGAGCCACATATGAGCTGAGCCTCAAACATGTAACGTCCAAAAGGGTCAATTTTCACCTAAATATTGACCAACATTGTGACCTTTCATCTACAGAAATAAATCCACTTCCTGTTAGGCCTTCTAAATCCAGAAGGTTCTGCTCAGTGCTTGTTGGCATTCCATGAAGACAAAACAGTCAAATAGGCACTCTGTCCCAAGGTCTTGCTCTCTGCTTAGAAGCCAGACAACATTCTTCACT